AAGTGGAGAATATTTAGAATTACAAAACATGGCACTTTTACATACATTTGTCCTTTCATTATCCCATTGTAGGGTACATAGGACAAAGGACTGCATCCAACTTAATTTATTTGGTATATTATCTTTTGTTTTATGATTTTAACTCTAGCATCGTCTCCTACCACTTAGAGCCTATGTATTCTTTCGACCAATTGACTTGAAGGTTTCTGACCAAATTATGGCCTTTCAAACTGTTAATCCCTCTGCCTGGAATGCCCTTTGCCTCTTCTCTTGGTGAGGCCACCTCGGTCCTCAGGACTCTGTTGGAATATCACCACCCAGACAAACATTTCCTTACCTGTTTCTCCTGTACCCACCCTTCCTCTGAACTCTCACAGCACCCTGTGCACATCCCCATTAGCCTCATTTGACACCTGGTATTAGAGTGTTCTATTTACTGGCCAGCTGCAGTAAGTTGTGACTCTTTGGAAGCATGGTGTGTCTTTTATGGTTTTATTTCTATTGTTTCAGCACCTAGCCAAGTCTGCACAGAGTATGAACTCAATGAACAATTGTGGCTTGAAGATGTAAATTCTTTAGTACGTATTGCATGATATCCATGTGATACATGCAGGTATATCATGCATATTAGTACTTTGTCCAACTCCCACATCCCTACCCCCTGCCCCCACCCCCACACACACATTCTCACTGCATTCATTGATGTGTAGACTTCTGTCTCGTCCATGGTTTTCATTGTAGTTGCTGAAGCTTGAGGTCACAATCTGGTGGAAGTGACTACTAGAAGGCACCTGTGCATTGTATTCTGTTGTACTTGTCATCTGGAGCACATAGTGTGCCTGAAGGTATGCCTTTCCTAGTGGAAAGGAAATACTAGCACTATGAGTACACTTTCACGCCAAATAGGAAGAAGGGCAAAGAATCGAACCAGGCAATATAACAGAAATTGGGTTGGGGACGTGAGCTGTGGAAGGAACCTCTGTCCACTGCAGAATACTACTCCCAGTGGCTCACAGAGGAGTCAGTGTCTGGCTTCAGCTCTCAGGTTGCTCCCTTCACCCTCTCTGTGCTCATTACATGGTTCCCTTTGATAGAACATGAGAGGCAGACATGGATTGCCAGGAAGCAGGCTTTTACAACTGTGATTTCATTGTGTTTTGAAGTTTCTCTCAAAATGGTTGATTTATTTTTCTCTCATGTATGCATTATGTATGTGTTGCTGCACACAACAGTGGATTCAGAACGGCTGTCCACGTCTTTGTGCCTAAACCCCAGCTATGCAATGTGATGCAATGCAGTGACCAAGAGAACCAGATTGCTGTGCTGGGCTCAGAATAAACAAGAGCACAAATCCCATCTGGGTCTCCTTCAAAGCAAACTGCTGTTTTGCAACAAGCTACCAAATGACGATTAAAAAAAAAAGATTCTTACCTGTTTACTTAATGGGTGACTGGCCTCTTTGCTTTTATTTAGCCATCTGTTCTGGTCTATGTCCCTTTAAACTTGTAAGATCCATCACTTCATTTAAGCTGTTACCTTGACACATTGCAATGTTGTGGACATAATGATTCCACAGAGGAGCAAATTAAAACAGTTTTTCATGATTAGAAGGTTAAATGAGGTAAGGCTGTGGTAGTTAGTGGTGAGATAAGAGGTGTGAGGCGGCAGAGCTCAGGGGACTTTCAGGTGATTGGAAAATTAGGCTGGTGAGACAGAGGGCTGGGGCTTTTACAAATTATGGGAGGTGAGCAAGAAGCAAGACTGCCTTTGGGTATCACCGACTCCTGGAGGCTGGTTCCACTGCCCACACAGAGGCTATGGCCCTAGCCCTGGGAGAATACAGGAACTGCCTTCAGGTTTCTTGACTTCCCTGGGAGAGTCTGAAGAGCAGAAAGAACTAATTCCACCAGGTAGTAGTAAGCTGAAAACACAACAACAATAAACATTTTGGTCTTTCGCAGACAGTTCCGTGGCTTTTCTTAAGTTCGAAGAAGAATCATGGGGGCCCAGCCCAACTATATGAAAACAGATTTTATTGTCTTTACCCTGTACTTCATGGCTTCAGCAATGCCCCTTTTTGCTCTAGACTTGACCTTCCACCTGACTCCTTCACAGTCCCTGAAAACTAGAAAGCGAAGAGCTTTATATTTTTTACTATCTTAAATCAGTTCCTGCTCTGACAACTCTGGTTTCTCTTGATATGATCCATAATATCGTAGTCACCTAGACTCAAAATCTGAGGCATCTCTGAATTTTCCATCAGCCACTTCTGTCCTGTCAGTAGCCCAAGTTCCATTTCTTCCACCTAAATCACGTTTCTCACATTTTTTCCCACCTTGTTATTTTCTCTGCTTCTACCCTAGTTTCCATCCCTCATTACCTCTGTCCTAGGCAGTTGGGAAATAGCCTCCTAACTAGTCACTTTTACTCTCTCCCTGCCCCAAAGCATCTTAAACACTGATGTTTGATCATAACTCATGACTGTCTTCTTTTTCTTATTATACTTTAAGTTCTGGGATATATGTGCAGAATGTGCAGGTTTGTTACATAGGTAACACGTGCCATGGCTGTTTGCTGCACTATTCAACCCATAACCTACATTATGTATTTCACCTAATGCTATCCCTCCCCTAGCCCCCTACCCCCAATGGGCCCCAGTGTATGATGTTCCCCCCTCCCATTTCCATGTGTTCTTATTGTTCTACTCCTACTTATGAGTGAGAACATGTGGTGTTTGGTTTTCTGATCTTATGTTAGTTTGCTAAGAATGATGGTTTCTAGCTTCATCCATGTCCCTGCAAAGGACATGAACTCATCCTTGTTTATGGTTGCACAGTATTCCATGGTGTATATGTGCTGCATTCTCTTTATCTAGTCTATCATTGATGGGCATTTGAGTTGCTTCCAAGTCTTTGCTATTGTGAATAGTGCTGCAATAAACATATGTGTGCACATGTCTTAATAGTAGAATGGTGTATAATCATTTGGGTATATACCCAGTAATGGGATTGCTGGGTCAAATGGTATTTCTAGTTCTAGGTCCTTGAGGAATTACCACACTGTCTTGCACAGTGGCTGAGCTACTTTACACTCCCACAAACAGTTTAAAAGCATTCCTATTTCTCCGCATCCTTTCCAGCATCTGTTGTACCCTAACATTTTAATGATCACCACTCTAACTGACATGAGATGTCTCATTGTGCTTTTGATTTGCGTTTCTCTAATGACCAGTGATGATGAGCATTTGTTCATATGCTTGTTGGTTGCAGATGTATAGACCAACAGAACAGAGGCCTCAGAAATAACACCACACATCTACAACCATCTGATCTTTGACAAACCTGACAAAAACAAGCAATGGGGAAAAGATTCCCTATTTATTAAATGGTAGTGGGAAAACTGGATAGCCATATGGAGAAAACTGAAACTGGACCCCTTCCTTACACCTTGTACAAAAATTAACTCAAGATGGATTGAAGATTTTAAATAAGACCTAAAGCCATAAAAACCCTAGAAGAGAACCTAGGCAATACCATTTAGGACATAGGCATGGCCAAAGACTTCATGACTCAAACACTGAAAGCAATGGCAACAAAAGCCAAAATTAGCAAATGGTACCTAATTAAACTAAAGATCTTTTGCACAGCAAAGGAAACTATCATCAGAGTGAACAGGCAACCTACAGAATGGGAGAGAATTTTTGCAATCTACCCAGATGACAAAGAGCTAATATCCAGAATCTACAAGGAACTTAAACAAATGTACAAAAAAAAAAACCAACCTCATCAAAAAGTAGGTGAAATATATGAACAGACACTTCTCAAAAGAAGACATTTATGCAGCCAACTGTCCCCTTTAACGAAACAAATAAGCAAACAAAAAACAAATGTCTTTTGGCTTTACATAACCTAGCAAACTCAGTATAGATGTATTAGCTTGATATCTGAGACAATTCAGCATATAGTTATCATTTGTGTTCTAGCATTTTCTCTTTCTTTGTACTTCAGTAGGGCAAACTACTGTGTGGCGACGAGTAACTCTATGTATTCCTGTCTCCGTGCTGTTTCCTTTGTCTAGAAATCTCTGTTCACAGATCCCTATCAAGTGAAACACATGCATTTTATGAAGCTCAGTCTCAAAAACATCTTTGCTTTCTCCCATCTCAATCAGATGCAGTTGTTCCTGCTTTTCTTCTACAGCAACACACTTAGAGGAATGTTCTGCTGCTTGGCACAATTTTTTTTCCCTCTCATTTTTTGAATCTTACTTTTGCACATCGTATAGCACAAGCAGAATTTCCTACTCATAGAGGGTGCTAGATACAGAAACAGAAGAATGAATGATAGTGATACTGTGTCCACAAGAATGTGAACATCCATTCATTTATTTATTTATTCGTTCATTTGTTTCACTCAAGTGTTCTTTGAATGCTTGTAGCATGTAAGGTACCATGTTAAGAGCCTGGGATACAGAGATTAAGATGACACAGTACATTCCAGTTCTCTAAGACCTCGCAAATACATGGAGGAAAACCACATAAATAATTGCACAGTGAAAAAGTACAACGATAGAAGTGTCTTTAAAGTATGGGAGTGATGGGTCTTTACCTCTGTTAGAGTGGATAGGTTGGGGGTCAAAATATGGTGGTGAGGAGAAGATTGAGCAATTAGAAAATGTTTCCTGTCATTGGAAATGTATGATTTGGGTTTTGCAAACTAAATAGGAGCTTACAAGGAATATAAGGAGATATGGAAGGGTGGAGAGGCAATGGAAGAGTCCAAGAAAGCAGCTCTGCTTGCTCTCAGCAGCCCAGCACACTGGGACAACCTGGTCACCAAATAATTATTTTCTGTTTTCAAGTAAAATATCCTGAATGACAGAATCCTTTGATCCCTATGAAAGAAAAAGAGGAATAAAGGAAGCTCTTTCTGTGACTGCCTTTGGTTGAAAGTCATTCATTCTTCTTTTTTTTGTTGTTTTTTTTTTTTAATGTTTTGTAGAGAAAGTCTGTGATTGCTGTGAGCTTCATAGCAGCGTTCCTTTTCCTGCTGGTTGTGCGCCTTGTAAATGAAGTGAATTTCCCATTGCTACTAAACTGCTTTGGACAGCCTGGTACAAAGTGGGTACCATTCTCCTACACATACAGGCGGCCCCTTCGAACTCACTATGGATACATAAATGTGAAGACGCAAGAGGTAAGACCTCAGAGAGTTACCTAGCAGTTGGAGAGTATCCATGGTAACGGCTTTTCTTTAGGAGCAGGAGGGCTTCCAACTCACTGAACTTACTCTCTCTGCCCTAGAGAGCTTGCTTGGGTCCCTGATGACATCTTCTGTTTTATTATTCTTAGACTTTTACTGACAAATGTCTAAATCTGCCACCCCTACTACATTAAATCTTCTGATTCACTGGCTTCATATGGAGTCAAGGAAGCAATTACTTGTTTTCCTGGTGGTTTGTGACATAACGTACATATCTCTCCATTTAGAAGCTATGATCAGCAGTTACCAGCTGGAGAACTGGCTGGCTTGATTTCCTGTAGGTCAGCTGGGTGGGGAGAGCTCTTTATAGAACTTCAAAAAGGCATTTATACTCCTTAAAACTCTGTAATCCTTAGACCTGGAGCTAGAAACGGCCAAGCTGATTTTAAAATTTGCAGTGGCTGCAGAGATAATGGGATTTAAAGAGTTTTCAAATTTAAAGGGGTTAAAATCATATAAATCCTATAATCACTGAACCTTTAAATCTTTGTAGCCAATTGGTAGTACAGGATGGAGGTATATTGACAACTAGAAAGTGCACAGTATGCTAGCACTCTTGCAAGCAAACATTTGCCTCAAAAGTAAAATAAAAATAATGAACCTCACAAAATATGTGATGTATATAGAAGTGGTTAATAAAATTGTTTTCACTCTTCATTTCTATGGAGTGGGATGAATGTGAGTTTAATATTCAGATACACAAAGTCCAAGCCTGTTGGTAACAAAGGTACAAGCTACCAGTGTGTCTACATCACTAGACAGAGTCTTGGATCAGATCCCATTGAAGGGTCATTTTGTAAAGATACTAGAGGGTAGAGTCATGCACGGAATGCTACTCCTATCCTGAGAGTTATTCTTAGCATTCTGGGAGAAGGCTAAGCCTGGTCTATCTCCTTTTGTAGGGAATCTCATATCTGAGTCATTGCTTCTGGTTTACTTTGATTCTTCGAAAATTGTTTCTGTATCTGCAGGATTTACAGGTTTTTAATTAGAACTTTGTAGTTGCAAAAAAAAGCACCATTAATAACACATAAATTCTTAGGATTGTTGTTTGATGTTTATCCTTTAATTGGTTTTAAATTAAGTTTTTAAAGTGTCTATTGCTTGAATTTGTTGAGTGTTTAGTAAATTGATTACCTATCTAAAAATGTATATTTGAGGAGAGTTTGTCTCACTCTTGTCTTTTGTTACTTTTATTTCTTGCTGTCATTTAATATTCTATAACTCTGCCGTACAGTGTTAATTCACAAGTGCCTGTCACAGGTTGAAAATGAAACATGTGACTAAAATGTCTCACGAATTATTCTCATATGGGAAATCCCGTCAAATATCAAAGACCCCTTCATTTGTTTAAATATTAATGAATTGGATTTTGGAGTGTGAAAGGACAAACTGACCTATGGATGCAGTTATTTAATTGGTTATATTAACTAGACTATCTGTGAAATTATTTTGATGTACTTTTTAATATAATGACTTTACAAAAGAATGTTGAATATTATTTTGCTCTTGCAAAGGTTATTTCTTAGAAAATATAGTTACTGGAAAGAATTTGGGCTCTGGAGGCATACAGGCATGGTTAGAGTGCCATTTCTAACACTTAATGAACTTAAGCTGTCTATTTGCTTTGGGGTAACTTCCTTAACCTCAGAGCCTCAATTTCCTTATTTTGCAAATAAGGATAACAACATCAGCCTAGCAAAATTATTTCGAGGGTAAAACAGGTCAAAGCATATGAGGTTCCCAGCTCCAAATTGCTATTCAGTGAATGAATTTCTTTTGCTTTCCCTGGCCTTTCCAGGATGGTTTGAAGTGTTCAGTATAAATAACATCAAATTATCCAAGTCCCGAGTACCTGAATTTATATGTACATTTTAAAGTTTCTGGCCTTGGGGCAGTAAACACATGTAGGAGTTCTCAATCTTATTAGTCATCATGGTTTTAGAAATTAAAGCCACATTGAGAAAAAAATTACAAATCACAAGGAGATACTAATATACACAAAATTCCAGATTGGCAAAAAATCAAGAAGTCTGACAATACCAAGTGTTGGTGAGGATGTGGAAAACAGACACTATTGTATACTTGTAGGGGAAGTAAACATTGCAATACCCACTTTGGAAAAACGGCTTCCATCTTGTACTGAGCAAAGTTGAAGATTTACATGCTGCATGGATATCTACATTAGAGGTGCTCATGAACCTGTGCACTGGAAGGCATGGACAGAACATGTGGCAGCCAGATCCCAGAATGCACCTAAATATTGATGAGTAGGAGAATGAATTAAACTCACACCACATGCACTGGAATACCATACAGCAGTGGCAGTGAAGAAACTGCAAGTATATGTGACGACATGGAATATAAAGCAAAGTACAGTTACGTTCCATTTATGGGTCACAAGCAGAGACAAAACTAAATAACGTTGCTTAGGGACGTATATAGCAGTAAACCAAAACAGGAAAAGAAAAGCAGGAAAATTATTGTCATGAAAGGGAATCTAGCAGTTACCTCTGAGAGGAGCGGGCAGTTTGTGATCAGAATGGGCTTCTGGGGATTTAGCAATATGTTACCTCTTGATCCTGTTGGAGGTTACACAGATGTTCATAGTTCGTTTATTAAGTATAAATTATGGTTTTTGGACTTTCTTGTGTGTCTATTTTATTGAAAAATTAAAAATATATTCTGATCCCAGGAAGAATATTTATTTACCACTTATTACAGTTAAGAAATTGTACAAAGCGATTCACCTAATTCAGCAGCAGGAAATAACTAAAAAGAAGCAATGAATGGGATATTAAGCTACCTAAAGTAAACTAGGAATATTTGAAATAGGCAGTTTGATTTTATACGAAGACTAACAGACACATAGGCAACTTATTCCTCTAGTCCTGGTCTATGCATGATAGAGAGGCCTCGTATTACAACAGGAATGCAGGTGATAGAGCAGAAAATTTTGCATGAAAGTTAAAAACATTAGAATGCTAGAAGAAAATGACAGTTTTCTCCTAAATTCAAGTATTTGAAGCTAAATCAGGAGGACATCAAAACCTTGTGACTTTTGACCACCCTCCTCATTGATTTTATCCTTTGTTCTGATAGTCCCACCCCTACCACCATGTCTGTGCCATGCTCTTACTCACAAATGATTGTGCATTTGTTCTCACCAATAGTGTCCTCAGGTCAGCCCATTGTGGAAATGGTTGCGTTAAATAAGAGACATAGTATGATAAAGCTTTCAAGATCCAAAGAAATATAGCTGAAATGTTAGGTGGTGAGTTCAATGTTCTAGGGCAAATACTTTAAATAGTGACCACAAAACCAAGCTTTAGAGATTGTCACACACAATGCCCCTATCCATTCTATTCTAATCCTGAGAAGGTCAATACGATCACTGAATTGAGTCAGGTGATCACCAAACTGATCTACTTATTTCAAGAACTTGGCCCTTAAAGTTTTCTCAGAAGTTTCTTCCCTCTTAAATGCATATGCTTTCTGGAAATTACTAAACTTCTTAGCATTTTTTTTAATATATGCAGGCATACCAGCAGTGATTTCCAGACCTAGAGCATCTGCAAACGTGATGGCTGTTGAGGGTAGTTTTACTGCCTGATGCTTCAGCTTGGCCAGAAGTTGTGTAACTAGACATGGATTTTATGAGCTAAAATGATTACAAGAAAGAATATCTCTTCATTACTGTCTAAAGAAAAGTGGAGTAGGAGGCAGCAGAATTAGGTCAAACATCTAGTGGACACTGTAAAGTACAGGGTTGCTTAGGAGCAAAATCTGATTCTTTACTTATCTTTTAAAAATAGATGAGCCTGGTCCTTTGGATTGGCACAATTGAAAATATTGGTGGCCCTGTGAATCTATGAACGCCTGTCCTGAAGTTCCCACATATAGTAAATTATGCCCAGTTTAAGCTCTGCTTCATTGTATCAAATAATCTTTTTTAAAAAATAATCTGTTCCCAGGGGAAATAAAAATATTAAAAGAAACACAGGACATGTAGTTTTTGCTTATATTTCAAATCGTTTATTTTTTCCCTTATCTAGACCCATAAAAAGGAACATGTGAAAACTGTGATGACTATATAAAGGAGTTAAATAGAAAGATTAAAATATTCCTTCCCACTGTAATAATAATGATCTAAACATAACAGAGTTGGTGATTGGCTTTAACTCTTTAGCCAGTCTCCCCTTCACTTTCTCAACCAGTGCAAGCTAAGGGTCTTTTCTTCGGGGGAGGGGAAATCTTGAGAAGCAGAAGGAAAATGAGTGCCAACTGTTTGTGAGTGCTGAAATTCTCAAAGTCTTTGCTGGCCACAGAGCCCCAAATTCCTCATCAACACATGTTTAAGCTGATAGCAATCATGATGTCAAACCAAAGCTTGGATCCAGAGTGATTTAGATTTTGAAACAGACCCAGCCCTTACCTCCCTGCTGTATCATTACTGTATCTATAATGCAATCCCTCATTTTAAAAATTGACAATATGGAGATTCCACCTATAACATTATGGCAGAATTACTGTATTATCAATTGGTCTTGGATATGATATAAAGCATATGTCACCCATGTGTATTTCCAGAAAAAAATTAAAAACATATTCATGCTTGACAATATCCTAAAACCCCATTTTCTCCTTGACACAAATACTATTTATTTTAAATTATTAATTGTAGCAGACAGAGAAGGTATAAAGGGCTAAGGTAGTCCAGGGCTTGGTTCGAGGTAAACTTGTTTCCTCCCTGTTAGGATGATGGCAAATTTTTGGGGAAAAGGAGGAAATGAACTTCAGGCTCTATTCCATTTGTAGTTTCCTATCATGGACTCAGTCATTGTGTTGTCTTTTTTGTTGTGTGACCTGGTGTGAAAACATTCCTCAGGGCAAGCAACCTGAAGTTTATTTGCATTTACTGCTAGGTGAGAGGA